ACACGGGCGCCACCACGTTGCAGTGACTGTCATATTTTAGGGCATAGAAGGACACAGTGTCCCAGTCGTAAAAGGAATTAATTTTTTTGCTATGAGCATAGATACATGAGTTGTAAATTGCCTTCATATTTCATCCGCGACCGAAAAGATGTGGGAGGTGGCCCGCTCGCTTGTGGATTACGTTAGTTAGTTAGTTAAGTTAATATACACTCTGCTGACTCAGCTCCCGATGCCTCTGCTCACATCCGAAGATTTGCCGCTTATCGACTTCTTCTCTTCGACTTCAAGATACGTATTCCTTCTCCTCTCGAGTCATTATCATCATTCCACGCTCATGCCTACCGGCTGACCGACAATTTCAGAGCGGGCGACTCTATCCATGTCGGGACGGAACGCCCCTCGCTCGAAAAATGGTTTGTCCTCATCTTCTCGTGAGATTCGTCTCTGTTGACCATCGCAGGCTGCAGCACCTGTCGCCGGCGAAAAGTGAAATGCGGTGAAGAGCGCCCCGTCTGCAAACGCTGCTTCAACCTGCGGCTCAGCTGCGAGTGGGGGGTCCCCGTCAAACGAGGCAGCAGAGCTACGGCCGCCGTGCGACATCTCCAACCGGCGCAACCTCGCGCCGACCCGCCTTCTCCGGCTACCTACAGTCCTGGGATCATTCCTGCGGCTTATTCGAATACTCTGGCGACACTGTGGCATCAGCCGCCAGGGCCTTCTACGGATTTGAACACTGGACCCTCGCTACAAACCGCCTGGTCGTTTCTCCCCCTGTATCCCTCGCTGTCCGTGTCCGACTTGGCCTGCTCCAACTCGCTTGTCCTCTCCGAGCATGACCAAAAATACTTTCAGTACTTTCCGTCGTCGTCGGTGGTTTTCTACTATATGAAGGCTTGGCAATGGAGTGCCTTTTGCTATCTATATCAGGGACCTGCTGCGTCGAACAAGGTGATCATGCGCATGATTCTGGCCTTGTCGGCAAGTGACATGCACCGCAGTGGGCTGGTGGTACGGTCTCCCGGCAGACCGACCGCGGAAGATCATGCGCGATATCATTATGGGCTGGCCGTCAAGGAGTTCCGACAGCTGCTGGAAACACCTAACCGAGAGGTGTCTCAGGCTGAACTGGAGATGATCCTTGCGACCATGTTTCTGATGGTGACGTACGAGTGGCAATTTGGACACTGCTCGAGACATCTACAGTTGCATCTCCAGGGGGTGAGATCGCTGCTCGAGTCGCATCCAGAGCTGTTTCAGATCAAGGATGTAAACGATGTACTACTATCCATGGACGCGGAGCAGCCAGAGGAGCCGTTCAGGGTGTCTTTTATTCCGGAGCAGTTCTTGCTGTGGATGTTGTAAGTTTTGGAGACTTTTCGCAATGGAAGGACCGGTGCTGATCGCTCAGGTACATCGACGTGAATAGTCGATCAGTCGGTCTGAGCGGATCTCTGTTTGATTATGTCCTGCGATCGGGTAACCCGGCTCTTCATCCGGACCGACTACATCGCTGTGCGCGTCTCTGGGGTCGCTGCTTCTGGGGCAAACAGTATCCTGACCAGGAAGTGTCCGATGATATGGAGAATTACCGGGCGCTGGAGCTGTTGCATGAAGGCATGTGTTTACGGCATAAAACCTGGCAGGTACTGGTCGATCAGACAGGTTTCAAGGATGCCAAGTCTCTTTTCAGTGAAATGATGGCCATCCGGGAGGTATGCATCCCATCGTCCGTCCGCTTCGCAATGTCCAATACTGATGGCATAGAAATACTCGGATCTGTTCATCACGGCCAAATTCGCCGGTGCGACTTCCCCACGTCGCACCCTCAACACCATCAACATGGCGGTCGCCACCTTTTACGCTCAGCTCCTTTTCCACCGGCGACTACTCTACTCCACGGTCCCCGCAACCGCCCTGCACCGCCAGGCTCTGACCACCATTCTCGAGATTTCCCAGAAGCAGTGTGTTGCCGACCCCCGACTGTTGCGCCGTCTGCATTGGCCGATGCTCATGGCAGTCATCGAGACGGAGGACCTGGTGGCGCGCGACTGGCTTCGGCAGCGCCTCAGCGAGCTCCGCGAGTACCACTCGGAGTACATTTGGGCGAACGAGATCGCGGACGACGTACTAGCTCGCCAGGAGATGAGCGGGCAGCCGGTGGATTTGGCGGACGTTCTACGACGTCATCTATACCAATAGGCGAACCTCGGTATCATGAGTTATAGCTCTATATTTAGGCTCAGGAAGCATTCTCGAGAAAATACGCATCATACGCAACCTCGCCCTTTGCCCGCGTCGCCCTGCCCACAATCACCCTATTGTTCATCCACCTGTACTTCTCATGGCCCGTCTCCAGCTTGATGTGCAAGTGGAACCAGTACGAGTCGGGATCGACCCCATCGCCTTCCATCAGCGCACGCAGCACCTCGGGCGGACCAGACCGCGTTCCCTCCGTCCTGTGCTCATCAGTATGCTCTCATCCGCGGCGTCGGTATCTGTGTGAATCCTACCGGATGTATATATATGCCCCATCCTCACTCTTAATCACGTAATTCGTATTCACGTGCGTCGTCTGGTCTTCTTCCACCAACCTACACATCCATCAACATCGTCTTATTCAACACTAACGGTGCAAACCATACATGAAATCCGCTCCTCCCGGGACGACCTCCCCGTTCAGGTATTTGCCCCTGACCGTCCCCGAGAGGATTCGGCGGCGGCCGTATGGCCCGTGGCCGATTTCCAGGGGCGGGGCGACGGCGCAGCGGAGGGTGAAGAGGTGGGTGAGGGTTGGTGGGGGAGAGATGGGTTCCATATTGAGTGTTGCGAGTAGCTGTAATTGTGCAGCTGAGGGTTGAGATGAAATCAGTGGTGATGGTTGAAGAGGGGAATGTGGAGGAGGGGTCAGTTCCACATGGATGATGTTTTATCCATGGACGCTTACTTTGTATGAATGTATATATATCGGTATATCGGTAGCCTCGGATGTCTGAAGATGAGGAAGTGATGTATGACATCATTAGTATATGACATGATTTGTTTACATGGATAGTACGAGACGTATATCTATCAGCATATACTGTATTTGCTATAGTTGTCACCGAGGATCTAAATCCTGTATAACCGATTGATTGACTTTTAGCGCTACCACCTGGCAATTCGCCGACTATGCAAACAAAACCCAGAATCCACAAGCCATGTAGGGACAGGCCTAGTTGAAAACCACAGTCTTGTGCCCATTAAGCAAAACCCGCCGCTCAGTGACATACTTGACCGCCGTCGCCAGCACATTACTCTCCACATTGCTACCCGCATGCGTCAACTCCTTGGGACTCATCGCATGGTTCACCCGCACAACATTCTGCTCGATGATGGGGCCCTCGTCCAGATCACTCGTCACAAAATGCGCCGTGGCGCCGATGATCTTGACGCCCCGGTCGTACGCCTGGTGGTAGGGCCTCGCGCCCTTGAAACTCGGCAGAAAACTGTGGTGGATGTTGATGATGCGGCCGGACATGGCCTCGCACAGCATCGGCGACAGCACCTGCATGTACCGCGCCAGCACGACCAGGTCGATCTGGTACTCGCGGACCAGCTCCAGCACGCGCGTCTCCTGCTGCTGCTTTGTGTCTGCGGTCACGGGCAGGTGCAGGAAGGGCACGTTGTAGGTTGCGGCGAGGGGCGCGAAATCCGGGTGGTTGGAGACGATCAGGGGCACCTCGATGGCTAGCTGGCCGGTGGATTGCCGGAAGAGCAGGTCGTTGAGGCAGTGGCCGATCTTGGAGACCATGATCAGCACGCGGGGCTTCTGGGAGGCCGGGTGGATCTCGAAGTCCATGGCGAGGGACTTGGCGGTTGGTTCGAAGGCGGCGCGCAGCTCGTCGACGGTCAGCTTGGGGGGCTCGGCTGTTGCCTCGGTGGAGGAGGCGGAGGCGGCGAAGTGCATGCGCATGAAGAAGCGCTTCGAGGTGGGATCGCCGAATTGCGAGGAGTCCACGATGTTGAGGTTGCGCTGGACCAGGAAGGCGGTCACGGCGTGGACGATGCCCGGGCGGTCCGGGCAGGAGATGGTGAGGATGAAGCTGTCCATGATGTTGAATCGAGGGGAGGGGACAGTAGACTGCAGATGGCGACTACCGGGGTGGGATGGGCAGATCAGATCGATGTGGGAATTTAAGCAACAAAAGGGAAGAAAACCCCGCGCCGTTTTCGGCGCTGACTAAGGTGGGGCTGATCGATAAGATTAGGGTTGATCATATCATCATATGCAGTGATGCTATCATTGCTGATCGACAGCATCATTGACAATGGACTTAGCAGTAAAGGTCATGGATACAATGCTCATAAGAAAGCTTATGAGGGGTTGGTGGTATCATCAGCCATAAAATGGAATCATATGGAGTATGCGGAATTCGACTCAGACATATCTACCAGTAAGGAGTCTCACAAGTTACTCAGGCTGCCTTCATTACTTTGACCATATCAGCATCTTGAGAAGGGGATACTGCAGATCATATGAGGTAGCAGTATTCATTACATGTAGAACAATTTATGTCTATATCTTCTCAATGTCCTGTTATAGTAGTCTGTAGAAGAGATCCATTCGTGGTCTGGAGTCTATTCCTGCTTGATCTTTTCTAAGAGAACATTACGGGGATAAGATCCTTGTCATTGATATAGAGGATACTGGGCAATTGTAATATTATCCAATTGACAGAACTAGAGCATCACTCATCTACTAAAGCTAATGAGATAAAAGTTCCGGCCTAGGTCATTAAAGGACTTATATCATACGGAAATACCGAAGATGATCACAAGCAATAAGCTACATTCAAATCGACTCGTCTTGCTCCTACACATACTAGATTAGAGTCAATGAATACCATATGATACAGATTCTGCTGCGTAATCCATGAATCTGCAGGACCGCTTCACCTCGTTCTACAAGCAGCACTCTCTACTGACATTTCCTAATTCGGCAGATTCGGTCGGATCCTCCGTCTTCTCCAGATTCTTCCCATCAGCCATCTTCAACGTAAGCGAGTCCCCGCATTTGCAGACAGAATGCCTGTCGCAAATACCGTGAGTAGCCACTGCAGGGTCCACCGGCTCTGGAGTCCGAGTCTGCAGTGTCTACAGTCAGGATCCAAGCATACCTACATTTCTCACCGAAGCACAACCCCTTACCCGGACGACAAGAGACGCCAGAGTGACCTTTCGGGATTTAGGTTAGAAGAGCCGACAACTCCAGGCTAGAGTCGGGGCTTGTATTTAGCTCCTGCAGTTCACCAGTTAGAGCGTTACCCCTCTCGTATCGACCATTCCCAGTCTGCCCACCTGAAACAGGGTGATCGAGCTTAATTTCTGGACTTGCCAGTTGCCACTGCGGGGTTACCATGTACTTTCAGGCCACACTGCTACAGAGTACTTCGATGTCAGTGTCGGATGAACGAGGCGTCGTGTCTCGGGGATTTCGGTCATCGATGACTGCGTGAGTGACACACAGTTCGAAGTATTGAGCAGGAAACAGGCCGATTGAAGGAAAAACTAGAAATGAGAAGGGAATATTACGCCGTGATTCAGGAGCAGTAAGTGCAGCAAGCAATATAGAGGGGAGCCGTGTTCTACTCTGCAACGTTGGCGCTGGGGTACTGACAGTAGCGGGGGCGGACTGCGGAGTAGACTGGTTGATGGACTGGAGAATTTCAGGTCAGATGAGTCCAGGATCTCACTCCCTGGACGCTAAGGCAGGTCAGAATGGACTAGACTGGTGGTTGACTCGCGAAGAATGAGCTGTCGAGGGAACCAGCCACTGTCGCAGTCTTGCTTTTAGCGGGGTTCATGGATCGATTAGTCGAAACGAATGAGGGTTGGGTTCAGGGTCTGTCCACTGTGCGTTTGACTGGATGTCCGTATGCAGGATAAATGTCAAGTATGAACTATAGATATTATTCCCCGACATTAATTGGTATGATCGATTGGCTGGGGTTGCTGGACTGGGTTGATGAAACAGTCATGTATAGTGCGGATACTATCGAACACCGAACAATAGTGACTGATTTATGAGAATCTCATCAAATTCAGGACCTGTCCATCCGGTCAGATGACAGAATTAGATTAAGAGAGAGAATATGGCAGATGAGGAGGCATGTGGTATGGGTCTCCGTACGGTCAAGTCAAGTGGCCGGGGCTCCCCGATTAGGAAACAGGAGAAGTATTTGGTATTCTGGACTTGGGCAGAAATCATTCGAAGGACAGAGGAGAATACTGGCTTAGAGACTAACAGCTGACGGAACGAATTAATATCTGGCCACGATATGATTGCAGGATCTGTGGCGTAGTGCAGTTAATTAATCAAAACGGTATCAGCCGCCCAAATGCCGAGGAACAACGGGGATGCCCTGCAGTCAGCGTCACACTCAAGGACAAGAAAGACACTAACTAGTGTATCGCTGCATAAACGCTGATGTTACTTGGCAAGTACTTGCAGTACTTGCACGGCTATTTAGCCGATTCCTGATCAGTCAAGGCACCGCACCGACTAGCTGCTAGTCTAGGTACCCAAAGGCTAAAGTCAGCTCATCTCATCTCGCTTCCACTAGCTAACTAAGCTCTGTAACTTCTTCATCTCTTCACGTGGGGACTCATGCACTTCCCCATGGGGCGACAACGGCATACGGTCCGCAAAGCCGTCAACAATGATGCTGAACAGACTGCCAGCAGCCTTCGATGAATTGCACGTCTACTAGATGAGTATGTTGAGTCTCTCCAACTTGCTGTCACGCTTAGAAGTTATAAAGCAGGCCTGTCTCTGCCGACACCTCGTCTTCATCCTCATCCTCATCATCCTCCATTCTCATTCACTCCCTTGACCAGTCAATCCTCGGACAATCCAATCACCATGTTGGCCTCCACCTTCTCCTACCGCATGTACAAGAGTGCGCTCATCCTGGCCGCCCTTCTGGGCTCTGGTCAGGCTCAGCAGGTCGGCACTTCCCAGGCGGAAGTGCATCCCTCCATGACCTGGCAGACCTGCACTGCCGGCGGCACTTGCACCACCAACAACGGCAAGGTTGTCATCGACGCCAACTGGCGTTGGGTGCACAACGTCGGTGGCTACACCAACTGCTACACCGGCAACACCTGGGATACAAGCCTCTGCCCGGACGATGTGACGTGCGCGTCCAACTGCGCCCTCGAGGGTGCCAACTACGCCTCCACCTATGGGGTGACTGCCAGCGGCGACTCCCTCCGCCTCAACTTCGTCACCACCAGCCAGCAGAAGAACATTGGCTCCCGTCTGTACATGATGAAGGATGACTCCACCTACGAGATGTTCAAGCTGCTGAACCAGGAGTTCACTTTTGATGTGGATGTCTCCAACCTCCCCTGCGGTCTCAACGGCGCTCTGTATTTCGTCGCCATGGACGCTGACGGTGGCATGTCCAAGTACCCAGCCAACAAGGCCGGTGCCAAGTACGGTACCGGTTACTGTGACTCTCAGTGCCCTCGCGACCTCAAGTTCATCAACGGTCAGGCCAACGTCGAGGGCTGGACTCCCTCCTCTAATGATGCCAATGCGGGTACGGGCAACCACGGCTCTTGCTGCGCGGAGATGGACATCTGGGAGGCCAACAGCATCTCCACTGCCTACACCCCTCACCCTTGCGACACTCCCGGCCAGGTGATGTGCACTGGCGATGCTTGCGGTGGCACCTACAGCAGCGACCGCTACGGCGGCACCTGCGACCCCGATGGATGCGATTTCAACTCCTTCCGCCAGGGCAATAAGACCTTTTATGGTCCTGGCTTGACTGTCGACACCAAGAGCAAGATGACCGTGGTCACCCAGTTCATCACCAACGACGGCACCGCCACCGGCACCCTCAAGGAGATCAAGCGCTTCTACGTGCAGAACGGCAAGGTGATCCCCAACTCCGAGTCGACCTGGTCCGGCGTCGGCGGCAACTCCATCACCAGCGACTACTGTACCGCCCAGAAGAGTCTGTTCGGCGACACCGACGTCTTCTCCAAGCACGGCGGTCTGGAGGGCATGGGCGCCGCCCTCGCCCAGGGCATGGTCCTCGTCATGTCCCTGTGGGATGACCACTCGGCCAACATGCTCTGGCTCGACAGCAACTACCCTACCACCGGCTCCTCCACCACTCCCGGTGTCGCCCGTGGTACTTGCGACATCTCCTCTGGCGTCCCCTCCGACGTTGAGTCCAACAACCCCAACGCCTATGTCGTCTACTCCAACATCAAGGTCGGGCCCATCGGCTCTACCTTCAACAGCGGCTCCGGCGGCTCGACCACCACCACCACCACCAAGGCTACCACGACCACTACCAAGGCCACCACCACCACGACCACTGGCGGTAGCACCACCGGCACCGGCGTCGCTCAGCACTGGGCTCAGTGCGGTGGAGTTGGATGGACTGGACCCACAGTCTGCGCCAGCCCGTATACTTGCCAGAAGCAGAATGACTACTACTCTCAGTGCCTGTAGATAGTTGACATTGACAATTTCGGGAGGAGCTTGGTTTGACGCTTGAGCAGGAAAATGTCTTAGTAGTTTATTGACCAATTTGAAGTGAATTGACTTCTTCCACCTTCCATTTTCCCTTTCTGCAAGGTGTGCATACTAGCCTAAGCCTCGGCTGACCCTTAATACTCGCCTGTCTGCATTCAATCTATATTCCTTCCAGGTGATTGGGCAAGAACTGAAGAACTTGCCCTTTCGAGCCAACTAATGCAAGCCATGACCCTGCTAGTTTAGCGCTTACCTGGTCATTGTCCCAGCCTGTTTGTCGTACGGAGTAGTAGTGATCCTGGTGTCTGCAAGGCATCCATATTATTCCCTGCGGCTGCATATCCTTTTCTCCGGGGTCACTTTCCCGGTTTCTGGGGTACAGCAGGCCGAGACACAGGGATTCATAGCATAAGACCAAGTCCCCTTTGCACACTTACTCGAACATACCCTTAAGACATGACAGAAACCATTGTCAAAGTACTATAAAGTGATCCAGTCAAATCAAGTTAATAATAATACTCCGCAAAACCGGAAATGCCTTCGGGGTATCCGCAGCCACCCCCGCAGATTCATTGCTTCGCTTCGTATTCCATCCGTATCCACATGGACGACGGGGTACGGATATTGAGGAAGTAGACGGGGTTTAGCCTGAATACCAGAAATTGGTTTCTGCGCAAAGGGCCTGTAATTAACTTCATAATCTGCTCATTAATATACCCCAAACGATCGTCCCTTTCATATACCGCATTGATCACTGTCACTGTCACTGGTCACTGGTCAGTTCAAGCTTAGCTAGCGATCCGGATATCCTCCCACGGTCAGTCACACTCAACAAGGACGAGATACCTGGCAGAGAAATGAGTTGGGAGTTGGGGTAGGACCCCATTCCGTCGTTTTCGTTTTCGCTTCGAACTAATCAAAACGGTGGCTGATCTTTTGACCCTGCAGGGTACCCGCCATGCAATTTATTCCGTTCCTTGAGATTGCTGCCTCAAAGTGCCGTGACGAATCGGTTAGGCCGCCTGGCGAGCTCCGTTCCGGTTTGGGATGGCATTTGCGTGCAGAATGCGAAGTAAGTTTCGGGGTGCGGTCCGAGGGGCCGTCGTGGTACCTGGTTGTTTTGGCAGGGAAGTGTATAAATAGCTTCATGGGATGAGTTTCCAATGTACTTGTCTTTTCGGTGTATAGCTTAAGTATACGCAGGACACGAGCAATGAAGGCTGCTACTGTTGTTTGCGCGCTTCTCCCCCTCGCTTTGGCGGCGCCGAATGCGAAGCGAGCTTCTGGGTTTGTTTGTATGTGCTTCTCTCTTTCTCCTGCGACATGGTGACGGGGCTGATGGTGTAGGGTTCGGTTCGAACGAGTCTGGCGCCGAGTTTGGCGAGACCCATCTTCCTGGCGTGCTGGGGACGGATTATATCTGGCCCAGTGCGTCGACTATCAAGACTCTGCATGATGCGGGCATGAACATCTTCCGTGTTGCCTTCCGGATGGAGAGATTGATCCCGAACCAGATGACGGGTACTCCTGATGCGACGTACATGAGTGATCTCAAGGCGGTTGGTTGCTGGTCGGGTGTTGAGAGGCGTCGCTGACAAGGCTAGACTGTCAATGCGATCACGAGTCTGGGAGCGTATGCGGTGATTGACCCGCACAACTATGGGAGATAGTGGGTTTCTTTCTGTCCTCTTGATAGAGCGCTGCTGACAAGACAGCTACGGCAACATCATCTCCTCGACCGATGACTTTGCCGCGTTCTGGAAGACCGTGGCGACTCAGTTCGCGTCCAACGACCATGTCATTTTCGACACCAGTATGCTTCGATTATCGACCTTGAAACGAAAGAAAGCTGACGGTGACAGACAACGAGTACCATGACATGGACCAGACGCTCGTCCTCAACCTCAACCAGGCCGCCATCGACGCCATCCGTGCTGCCGGCGCCACCTCGCAGTACATTTTCGTCGAGGGCAACTCGTGGTCGGGGGCCTGGACCTGGACCACCGTCAACGACAACCTCAAGGCCCTCACCGACCCTCAGGATAAGATCGTCTACGAGATGCATCAGTATCTCGACTCGGATGGGTCCGGCACCTCGGCCACCTGCGTGAGCTCCACCATCGGCCAGGAGCGCGTGCAGTCCGCCACGCAGTGGCTGAAGAGTAATGGCAAGAAGGGTTTCCTGGGCGAGTTTGCTGGTGGCGCCAACAGCGTGTGTCAGACCGCTGTCACGGGCATGCTGGACTACATGTCGGCCAACTCGGATGTGTGGATGGGCGCTGAATGGTGGGCGGCCGGCCCCTGGTGGGCGGATTACATCTTCAGCATGGAGCCGCCATCGGGCACTGGCTATCTGAACTACCTCTCGCTGTTGAAGCCGTACTTTGCCAATGGTTCGGGTGGCTCGACCACCAGCACTTCAACGAAGACGACGGCGACATCCACCACCACCAAGGCGACGACAACGACCACCACGGCCACGGCCACAGCAACCGGAGTCGCACAACACTGGGGCCAGTGTGGTGGAATCGGATGGTCTGGCCCGACCACCTGCGCCAGCCCATACACCTGCCAGAAGCAGAACGACTACTACTCTCAATGCCTGTAGCTAGCATCATCCATAGCATAGCACAGTAGCTCACATTGTAATCGAATAACCACTTCTTTCTACTTCAAGCCGTAGACCCATTGTATTCCCTACTTCGAAGCAACCAGCTCCTCCACACTCTTCATCTCCTTCCCATTATTCTCGCCAACATCCAACGCAACCAACACCCGACTCACACAGTTATACCCCGCCACCCCAGTCGTCAGCTCCACAATCTCCCTCTCGCTCAGCCCACCAGCCTTCAGCGCCTCAAACGTCTCCTCCTCAACCCGCACCCTCAGCGTCATCTCATCCGTATACCGCACCACCGCCCTCTGCACCTCACTCAGCACACTCCGCCCCAGCGCCTCCCTGCCCCCCTCGGTAACCGTCGCCTCCACCTCGCGCACCGCCCGCAGCTCGTCCGCCTTCACCCCGTCCTTCAGCGCCAGCGGCGCATGCGCGTTCCACTCGTACACGGCGCCGTTGAGGACCGCCACGCGGCAGACGGCCAGCTCGAGGAGGGCGCCGGGGAGGACCGTGCGCGTGCGGATCGCGCCGAGGAAGCTGTTCCAGCCGTCTGCGACGGGGGGGGAATGCAGTAGCGAGAGATCGAGGGGGATGAGCGGGCGTGGGTGTCTGCGGGCGGCGATGCGGGCGTAGATTTCGGCGGTGGAGGGGTCGGCGTCGGGGGGTGGGGAGGAGGAGGCATAAGGGAGACGCATTTTGGTGAAGTTGAAGTTGATAATGATATTTTGATAGAGTTCAGTTCCTGGTGATCGATGGGGGAATGTGTTGTGTTGTTGTGTTGTGTGAGAGGATCTGGGGGAATAAAGTTGGAGTACATTTACTATGGTATGAAGGAGGCGGAATTGAGTTTACCCGCGGCTATTGTCTCTTCCTTTGCACTACTGCTGAGACTTGAGTCGCGTGTGAGCAACCCGGATTGAAACACTTTGAGAAGATCAATGACTCCATTCCGTTTTTGATTGAGGTTTCTGCTAACAAATTGTATTGTATTCTGAGGATGCATGCGGAGTGCAGTGCCGCTTGCTGCCTCAGGCATAGAAGGACTGCCGCCACTCGATGCCGGATGATGGATCCCCGCGTTTTGCGTCCGGAATGGAGTCGGATGAACTAAGGCTCATGGATTATGAGTGCTTTGAAATTGATATTGATCTCCTCTCGTCCCTTGCCCCTAATTGTCATTAGCAGAATGAAGCATCACTTGGTGATAGGCACGTGGACGCCGCCAGGCCGTCTGTACACCGTCGCATTCGACGACGAGGCCTTGACCTTGGAATTGGTCAAGAAGACAGAAATTCCAGCAGAGGAGCCCATCTCCTGGTTGACGATTTCAGTATGTACCCTACCTCGAAGACTGACAGTCACTAATGTTATCCAGCATGACAAGAAAACGCTCTACGGAGCTGCCATGAAAAAATGGAACAGCTTCGCCATCAACAGCCCAACAGACATTGTACATCAAGCGTCCCATCCTCTGGCTGGCCACCGTATGCACCAATTCTATGTTCGCACTAGATGTTAGTGCAGTGGTGCTAACTTGCACAGCTCTGGCCCCCAGTAGCGAGACCAACACCCGCGCCATCTTCGTCCTGGCCGCTCACAAACCCCCCTACAACGTCTACGGCGCGCCCTTTTACAACTACGCCGGCTACGGCAACGTCTTCTCCGTCGACTCCTCCGACGGCCGGCTGGTCAAGAACATCCAGAACTACGAGTACCAGGAGAACACAGGCATCCATGGCATGGTCTTCGACCCCACAGAAACCTACCTCTACTCGGCCGATCTGCAGGCCAACAAGATCTGGACCCATCGCAAGGATGCCGAGACCGGCGAGCTGACCCTCGTCGATTGCCTCGAGGCTCCTTCGCCGGATGACCACCCCCGTTGGGTCGACATCCACCCCAGCGGCAAGTATCTGTACGCGCTGATGGAGGCGGGCAACCGCCTGGCTGTGTATGTGATTGACGAGAGGCGCAAGGTGCCTGTCTTTACTCACATCACCTACCCATTGCTCCCCAAGGGTATGTCCTTTTCTTTTGGTCCTTGGTCGATGAATGAGGCCAGAAACTGATGAGATAGGCGTCCCTCCCACGAACAAATACCGCGGTGATGTCTGCTTCACCACGCACAGCGGCGAGTACCTGTTCGCAACGACTCGCGGAACCTACGGCCGCCCCTGGACCGGCTACATCACGGCCTTCAAGCTGGGTCCCACCGGCAACATTGAACGACAGCTGTTCATCCACCCCACCTCCAACAGCGGCGGTCACTCCAACGCGGTCAGCCCCTGCGACTTTAGCGATGAATGGTTGGCCCTGTGCGACGACCAGGACGGGTTCGTGGAGATCTATCGCTTCAAGGATGAGACGCTGGCCCGGGTGGCTAGGCTGGATATTCCCGAGAAGGGATTCGGAATGAATGCCGTTTGGTATGATTAATGTAGATGTAGAGAATGAATAGAGCCTGGTACATGGCGTAATGGCTGGTGATGATGACTGTCACGTGGCTGGTGTTGATTTCGACTTCTTTTCCTCCTCGTCTGGAGGATTCAATCTCCATCTTCTTCATCCATCGTATCGCAGGCAGAGATAATGGAAATACCTTCATCAAATAGCATCCCCTCCCAGTTCCATCACTATGATTGAACAGGTATAACCTTCCGTGCCTCCGCGGTGCTCATCCCACGGCGACCAGCGGACGACGCTTTGGCATTTGACCAATCTGATTAAGCCTTGATTCAAGTCCAAGCCATCATAGATCAATCAATCTCTGCATCTTCACTTTCGACTATGACATTCTATAGTCTATTGACAAGGATAGATGACTAACCATCGGCATTGTCAGAGTTCGGGCCTCCGGTCGGCAGTCGATATCGGCCTCGAATGCTTTTCCGGAGGTCTGGGGTAGAATCTGCAAATAAACATACTTGATCTTGTTCGTCATCCTCAATTACTCATTGGATTGTTATCATCATCAATTACTCATTGATTGTTATCATCATCATCAATTACTCATACAGCAATGGCAACCCCCGGCCTGCTCTACGTCACAATGCAACCCCGCCCGTCTCTGCCGGCGGCCCAGTTCCACGACTGGTACAACACAGAACACGGTCCTTTGCGCCTTCGCTTGCCCTTTGTCACCAATGGCTTCCGCTACAGAGCCACCGACGGCCTCGAGCCGGAATGGCTTGCTCTGTACGATATCACCGACATGGTCGAGCTGACCCGCGAGACTTACCTGGCCCTCCGAGGCGACGGCATCAAGACCCCGCGCGAGAAAGCCACCATGGCCCAAATTGCCGTTGATCGCCGACTCTACGACCTTGTGGACGATCAAAAAGCCGCCGACTACCGTCCACTCGAGGACGAAACCGACGCCGCCGCCGCTGGCTCCGTGCTCGTTGCAGTGTCCGTTGTCGTCCCCGCCGACCAAGAAGACGAGCTCCACCGCTGGTACCGCGAGGAGCACTTCGAGATGCTCGCCCGCGTGCCTGGCTGGCGTCGCTCCCGCCGCTTCGTGACCGCGGCCATCGACCCCAACGCCCCTCGGGAGTTCCTTTCTCTGTACGAGTACGCCGCACAGAATGGACTCGAAGGCCCCGAGCACAATGCTGCGAAGAACACCCCCTGGGGCAAGCGGATCAGCGAGATGGCCATCAGCAAGAAACGGCGGGTCTACGAGTGGGCCTACACATTTGGGCCGGCCCCGCGCGAGCTCTCCTCCCTGGCCTCCAAGGACGTCGTCGGGCCCTGGCACTCCAATGACAACCGGACCCGCACGTATCCCTCGCCCACGCGCCCGGCAGTCGAATCATTCGTAACAACCACGGACGGGGTCTCCCTCCCGTACCGGCTGGAGGGCAGCCCGGACCCCACCGCCCCGGTCCTCGTGCTCAGCAACTCCATCCTGGTCGACTGGACCATCTGGGACGGGTTCGTCGACGCCTTCCTGTCCGACCCGACGAACCAGAACTACCGGATCCTGCGCTACCTGACGCGCGGCCGCCTCCGCGACTGCGGCGAGACCCCCATCACCATCGACGTCCTGGCCTCGGACATCATCGCTCTGCTGGATGCGCTCCGCATCCCGCAGGCGACCCTCATCGGGGTCAGCCTGGGCGGCGTCACGGTGCTGAACACCGCGCTCCGGTACCCCGCGCGCGTGGCGCGGTTCATCGCCTGCGACACCAACAGCGCCGCCCCGGAATCGAACCGCCAGGCGTGGACCGACCGCCACGCGCTGGCGCAGCGCGAGGGGGCCGTGTCGCCCAGCACGCAGGAACCCATCATCGGCGAGCAGCTGGCGGAGGCGACCACGCGCCGGTGGTTCGTGGCCGAGTCGTACGAGACGCAACCGGCGGTCGCGGCGCGGGTCAAGGAGGTGGTGCGCAACAACAGCCTGGAGGGGTTCCAGAAGGGCATGCAGGCGCTGTGCGCGTACGATGTGCGGGAGCGGATGGCGGATGCCCGCGTGCCGGGTCTGTTTGTGGCGGGCGAGGGCGACGGCGTTCTTCCGCGGACGATGCTGCAGATGGCCCGCGACCTGAGGGGCGGTGCGGAGTTGAAGATCATCCCCAAGGCGGGTCATCTGCCGATGGTCGAGCAGCCGCGGGCCTTTACCGAGGTTGTCAATCGCTTCTTGCATGGTTAATTTGTAGCCCTCGGCATACTTAGTCTAGCATGAACTTATGTATAGAATGGAATGAAATGAAATATGGAACGTCTATTGTGTAATCACATCATTATTACATTACTATACGTGTTCCCTCACACTGGCTGACTTGGCCTCCGAGGTCTGCGTCACCTCAAACGTGCGGTGGATGCCCAGCCTCATGTCCCCGCCGTCCGCGACACCCGGCACCCCCGGCCGATGGGCATTCAGCCGCTCCTCGCTACTGTTCTCGCTCGATCCGCCCCACGGACTCTCCGGCGCATGCACGGTCGTCACGGTCGTCGCCAGTTTATCCGGGCGGAAGCGGCCCGGGGCGTCGGTATCCAGGGACCCCAAGGGCATGGGGCGGTCCCGGCTGGGGCCGAGGCGGCGCGAGGCCGACTGGCCGGGCATGGGCGACATGTAGTCGTCGGTGGTGCTCGAGCCGCGGATCAAGCGCAGCAGGGGGCGCAGGGTGGCCAGGCTGCCGGCGGAGATACCCAGGCCGACCTCGATGTTGGACCAGAGGGCGATATCGACGGTGGCATCTGCAGCCGAGTCAGCGTCTGGTATGAATAGTAGGAGTGGAGACTTACAGAGGAAGTCGTAGTCGGCAAAGGTCTTGACCCAGGGGATACGGATGATGACGGCGGAGGAGGCACTGCAATTGCATTCTGTCAGTTTGCGCCCGGTCAGGGCAGGGCAGGTGTGCAGTGGACATACATGCAGGCCATGCTCAGAATGCCGATGACGGCGATCTTGGTCTGGCGGCGCATGTGCAGCTTGCGCACCATGAAGATGGGGAGGATGCCGACGGTGAAGTCGCACAGGGCGGCCACGGCGCTGTAGACGTAGGTCATGGCGATGACGATGTGGATGCTGATGCAGGAGCCGTGGATGGAGGCGTCGAACGCGGTGCGGGTCCAGAAGTACTCGAGGGGCTTGCATTGCAGGAGCATGATGAGCATAAAGGCCAGCCCGGCGATGACGGTGAGGGCGATGACCGTGTAGAGGATCCAGATGTGCAGGCGTTGGACGGTGATGCGGCGCAGGAAGATGCAGACGGAGACCTTGCAGCCGACGGAGGCGAAGCAGTAGGCGATTTCGCAGAGCCACCAGTACTAGCACGATTAGTGTTTCTCTCTGCCAGAGGAGGGAAACAGAGAGATACCTCCATGGCCGTGACGCGCTGATGGGCCGTCAAGTCGTGGAATCTCTTCCCGGTGCCGTAGAGAGCACCCCCGATCATACAGCTGGAGAACATCAGATACCACAACTAAGGATCGATCAGCAATTTCGCGCAGGAATTCAATTATCGATGGGAATACCATCGCAATAACCATGGCGCCATCGTCCCAGCCAAACGCCTTGACGACGAACAATCGGACGTAGCAGCGCAGAATCACCGTTACCGAGGCCACCGCCATGAACACGGCCGCAACCGCTTTGACCTCGACACTGCGGTCATCTTTAGTGCCCATGCTGGACGTCAAGGCATGGTTGATGATGATGGGGAGGAGTGGAGAGGGCAGTCTGTCATATATACTCTGGATGTGAGTTTCGATTTGGGTTGACCAGACAAAAGGACCAGTCCCACTCCACCGAGGAGACTGAATAAGGAGAATTGCCTCCCATTTGGAACCTTCAACGCCGATCGAGGCCTCCTTGGGTTCTAGCACTTTTAGCAGCAGTGTTAGCGGCGTTGGCGAGACAGCCACACTCCAGTTTTCTCCAGCCTAGTCCGCTTTGGTCGGTCTCCTCCGTGCAGAGATCCAGCGATGGACAGTCCACAGCCTACGAATCCTACAGAGACCTCGGTAGAGGTTTCCGTCTGAAGCAGCCTTGGCTCTTGGCTGTACTGCGTCGAGAGCCACAGGCCTGAGCGTTGGCAGGTTGATCTCTAAACACTTTTCTTCGGTTCTAGAATCGACAGGACATGGATTGTTTATGCACGGATAGCAATGGCATTACTTGGATGTGAGACAGCCGCCTTTACCCAATATGCAGCAAGTTAACTTCTTTAGTGTCACTGGGCAGTTTCAGCCGACGAACCAGACTTGTTAACGGTTTTCTAGTCTACTCTTTGACGCTTGAAGCGGGGACTAGAGAAATGAAAGCATCTGATAGATCGTCTGCTATAACTGCCAAAAGTCAATGACCTTTTGACAGGTCTCCCTATTTAGAGTCTGCAGTCTGCAGGCTGTAGTCTGTAGAGCGTAGGGAGTAGTCATCTTCTGTGCTGCAGTATCGAATATCAATAGCCCTCATTGTGGGATATCCACTTGGCAAACGACGGGCTCCCCCTAAAACTCCACCCTGCGTGTCAGTCCTGAGTCTCGACTGCGCGCGAGTCATGGCTCGAGACATGGAATCATGGACACTTGCAGATGCTCCCAAGAGGCCAAGACTGCAGTCTGCCTATGTAAATTGTAGACTAAAATCAGGAACCGTGATCCTGCAGGATCCATTTCCAAGAGTCTGATCCCATGTACTGGGATTCCATTTCCTGCAGCAAACGAGATTAGAGCATATCGATCCTTCAATTCTCCATCTTTATATTGTCATTATTATTCCTCGTCATCATGTTACTGTTAGCAGTTAGCTCCTCGTGTTTCATTCTCTAACGCGCCGCTGATCGTCATTCCGGGACACCGTTGGCCCAGCGGAACTTGTCAATCATTGTCTACACTGGGCTTAGTGGATCATAATAGCTTTGTTAATTGACACTTGACTGACAGGACAGGAGTCGACCGTTAGAACTCTGGCGTTCGGGACTTCGTTGCTGTTCCATATCCGGGGATGGACTCGATCAACGAGTCAGGCCAGTCTGGCTGTCTCAGGCTTATGCCTCGGTATCATGCTCGAGGCAATCAAGACTATTTCAATTTCAACCAGTTCAGATGGTGTTGGGGTAGATAATACGATCCACGCCGGGTTCTCCTGATGCCGATGGAGTCCTCGTATTCCCCCCTCTGGCTCCTTTCGCTGCGCTTCTTTTACCCATTTAGGGTTGAGAAAGGTGAAACTTCACTTCTTTTCTTGTGTTTGACGGTTCACTATCCCAATGCTCAGAGACGATCGTGAGTCCGATCAGATTGCTCAAGGATTCAATGGTGCTGATGCCGTCCCCTGCTCTCTTGGTCCTAATTTGAGACTATTGATCTGCAAGGCCAGAACCCGGACGAGGAGAGCTGCAGATTGGTTCTGGAACGACTGTCCAGCAGCAATCTGACTGTGCGTATTGTTCTTCACTCGATACAGGTTATGATCCCTGTTCGACCATCTTTGATCTTCATCTCTGGCTTTGAAGAAAGGCGACATTGACCGATCGCTCAAACTTCGACTTCTTCTGTCGCCGTCTTGAGGTGTGATTACACACGAGCCTGATTTAGAGACAGAGCCACGGTCGCGTTGGGTTATATTGCAGAAGATGAACTTGGTTGTCGGGCTTATACGTCGGAAATGATCTGAATTCTGCATGGACATACCTCAGAGACATCGAGAACACATGAACGCCATCCCCTCTCGGCGATGGGAAACTCGTCAGTCACCGTCAGATGTCGTGATGCTGTCACAACCATGACGTCGTCGGTCGACCTATCCCAACCGACCATCATGTCGTTGCAGCAGGAAGTAACGGACGAAAGATCACAGCTTCAGAATGGGCAGAATAGGCCCTAACCGCTGCTTTCCCCTTGGATTCAGATTTTCACCCTCCTGTCGGTGTCGGCGAGTATCCCTCTATGCGAACGGTATGTTACCGACACACATCTCGGACAACGCTCACAAGATGCAGGCAAACCGGCGACCGAAGAGGATTTGTTCGCGTACAACAGGGGCCGGTTCCTCGTCAACGAGGGATACGAGCTCGCCAAGCGGTACTCGCCCTTTGACATCCAGGAACTATGCAGGATGGTCTCCTCGCTGCCTCGCGTGGCCGGCTCACCCATCACCAAACTCGAGAAGAAGGAGGGCGGGTACAACAAGGCGCTGCTGATGACCGCAGAGAATGGGACAAAGATTCTGGCAAAGGTGCCGTGTCGGAATATCGTGCCTCGATGGTACGGGACCGCGTCGGAGGTGGCTGTCTTGAAGTTTGGTAGGTATCCTAGTCTCGTCCCAGTGTCACTGGGGATCTGCTGACTGTCGCAGTCAAATCTCACTCGTCCACGCCCGTCTCGGACGTTCTCGCGTGGTGCGCGGACGATTCGAACCCCGTCCGTTCCGAATACATCGTCCTGGAGCCGAGCGTCGGCCAGCAGCTCACCAAGGTGTGGGACCACCTGGCCGAACACGACCGCGTGAAGCTGATCCGCAACTTTGCCTTTCTGGAAAGCAAGCTGGCAGCCAACAAGTTCCCCGGCTACGGCGCCCTGTACCTGCGCAACGCCCTGCCCCCGGCGCTGAAACACCCCACCCGCACAATCGACGTGGACGAGACGTACTGCCTTGGCCCGATGTACCACGGGTCCTGGCCCGGCGGGTTCGCAGCTGACCCAGACGCCTATGCAAAGTACTCCGGTCCCTGTAAGACCCCTGGACTCTGTCTCTGCTAATCTGATCGCGCATACTGACGTTCGGACGCGAGGATAGGGCGGACCCTCGCCGACCTCGGCAGAGATCTCGTCCACCAGGGCATCTGCCAGGTAAAAAACCACAAGACCTCCTACGCGGGCCGGGGCCCGCACTACGGCACGCCCGAGGAACATCTCGACGTCCTCGAGACCGTGCTCCAGGTGATGCCCATCCTCGCCCGGTCCGCGCCCATCTGCCGCCACGCCGAGCCGGTCCTCTGCCACCCGGACTTCCACCCGGGCAACATCTTCGTCTCCACCGAGGATCCCACCGTCATCGTGGGCGTCATCGACTGGCAATTCACCTGCATCCTCCCCCGCTTCACCCAGGTCCGCTGGCCGCTCTTCCTCTCCCCACCGGAAGGCTACCAACCCGGCACCAGCAACCCGGAGCTCGCCCCCTCCTACAACACAGCCGACACCGACACCGACGCCGACGCCACCACGGCAAAAGTGCAGGACGAGGCCCTGCGCGCCAAATGCTACGAGGCCGCCCTCCTCAAATCCCATCTCGAGTCCTACCTCGCCCTCACCGAGCCGGACGTCGCCATCCGCCGCCTCTTCACCTCCTGCCCCTTCACCTACCGGGACGGCATCCTCCCCCTCCGCGACTCCCTGCTCCGGCTCTCGCAGCACTGGGCCCACCTGCGCGTCGGCGAGGCGTGTCCGTACCGGTTCACGGCGGCCGAGGTGGCAAGGCACGAGCAGCAGATGGCCGAGTACGACGACTGGCTGAAGCTGCGGGAGCATACGCACCAGCTGCTGCGCTCGAACGACGGCGGGTGGGTGCCGTCCGGGGCGGACTTTGAGGCGATCCAGGCCAGGCATGAGAAGTTGTACCGGCGGTTTGTGGAGACGAAGATGCAGAAGCGCATGTCGGAGGAGGATGCGAAGAGGCAGTGGTTTTTTCGGGATAGGGGGTAGCCTTAGCCTTAGCCTTAGCCTTAGGCCTTGTATCAACCGCTGACTGCCATATGTTCTGTTCTTAAGCGGGTTGCCCGCTCATGGTATTCTGATCAGTCTATATGCAGCAGCACCAATGTTAAACAGGTTTTTCTGGCCTAGGTAAAGAGTAAGGATTGCTCAATCATCAGTTATTCCATCCTTGCTACTAGTGTTGAAAGATGAACGTCGGTCCCTGGCCAGACCCATTAAACATGGTCTCGAGGCGTGGCGCAACTCGCCCTTGGTGGGAGGCGGAGCGTGATAGTAGTATTGTCACTAGAGCCAACTTCTAGCAGTTGACTGTGTGGTGAGAAAGCTAAGGCTCTCAGCCTGGAGCTCTTTGCTCCAGAACATCTCAGCTTTTGGTAATGGACACAAGCATGAATCTCACAACGACTGTAGTATCAATGCGGGAGGATGAGCGAGTCTAGAGAGAATGAAGACTATCTAGACGAGTTGCTAGGAGAAAAAGCAGACGTAGACGTGTCTACACAGTGGGTCACATAGCCAACGAGAGCCTAATCAGCCAGAGAGCAAACATATATACATCTTGTCTCTCCAGTTCCGTCAATGGTTCTATCCCACTTTGGCCCATTGCTTGCTCAGCTCCCACAGCCTTTCTTCCTTTTCCTTGTCGAACGCCCAACTGCCATAGCCATACTCCAGGGCGTCTCCATCAGGCGGGCAGGCATGCACCGCAACTGACGCCCCTTCCAAGTACAACCCACCCCGGCCCTCCAGCTCACTGGATGTAGCACCGTAAATGGAGGTCGCACAGGCCTGTGCCAGACTGGTCATATACTTGCGCGCCTTCTCATCATTCAGGATGGCATCCACCTCCGCCTGCGAGTGCTTTTGGAGGTTCGGGCTGACAAATGCCCCGGGATGCACACTGTATCCATGGAGACCCTGGGATCCATATAACCGTTCGATCTGGGTGGCCATGTAAATGTTGGCTGTCTTACTTGACCCATATGCCAACCAACCATTATAGTTCCCTTTAAAGTTAATGTTATCCAGCTGAACTGGCCCATAGCGATGGCCTGCGGAGGCGACATTCACCACGCGGGAGTGGAAGCTAGGCGTTGAACTCTGCAGGAGGAGGTCCTTCAGACACCAGAAGAGCAGGAAATGGGAGAGATGGTTTGTCCCAAACTGTAGCTCGAAGCCGTCCTTGGTGCGGCCCTCCGGGGTGTTCATCACCGCGGCGTTGTTGATCATCACATTGAGCTTGTTGCTTTGCTTGCGCAAGCTGTCCGCGCAGGCCCGCACACTGGAGAAATCTGTCTGGTCCATGTACAGCAGATGCACACGGCCTGTATCCAGTAGAGACCCCAACGCCTCCTTTGCCTTTTCGATATTCCGAGCGGTGCCGTAGACAGTTGCCCCTGTTAGGGCCATTACCCGTGCAGTCTCGACTCCGATGCCGGATGAAACACCCGTGATTAGAACGACTCTGTCCCCCCAAGCATTGACCAGGCCTTCGTCGTGAATGATCTGTTCGCCTGTAGCCCGAGAATCACCCGGCCCGTTCAGCACTTCCCACTTGTTCCTGTCGGCGTAACGGCCCGAGAGCTGGAATGGGTTGCGAGAGATAAGCATTTTGCTGGGTTTGTTCTTTTGATGCGATATTCAGCACACGGGGTGTTGTGACGAGACTGGTTGCTTCTGAATTGTTGATAGAACTTGAGGAGAAGCTGCATTCGTCTGTTCTCCAGTCATAGTTTTTATCTTGGAGCAATCCAGGATCGGGATGTAGGGAATGATGATTTCTCATTAAACCCCTCTTTAAATAGGCTAGCTATCCCCTTCTGGGACGGGAATCTGGCTATTGGGCTTTATCATCTCCAAGGGATTATTAATCCTACCTAGTAATAATACTAACCCTGTCAACCACGACCGTGTTCCCGTCAGACTGGGAATACCTGGGCGTTGTATGTTCTGATCTGGATTCTGGTATGATCGAATTTAGGTGGGAAAGTAGACAATGACCGGAGCGCAGAATCCACAATAAACCTTGTCATCAATACAGGCCAATGCTAGATATCTACTGAGTAGGCTAGTACCAGAGTTGAGGTGATCCGTATCCAAATCCAACGGAGTCAAGCTTTGGTTGGCATCTGGTAGACCCCCGCCTCAAGACTCCTCACTCCAAGTCTGTATGTCCTCTAAGCTGACCCCGTCCAGGGATTCACGGTGTCATTCCAAGACTCGGAATCAGAGGGGAGTTGAGGAGATGAGGGGAACGGTTCGCAGTCGTCTTTCATGGAAGGCTGTGTGATAGATTTATATTAAATAATAATACCACTAGGCCAAAAAGGCGTCCGGACGATGTACTCGTCAGTCTAGGGTTTCATATCCATAATCATAGTGGTATCTTATTCCAACAATTTACAACCTTGGAATTCTGCAAGAACTCTGGTCATATATCAAAGGCTGAAAGAGATGAGCACATACGACCATAGGGTGTGGAAAACAGGGCTTCCCGTCCGCTCAGCCGTACTTAAGCCACACGCCGGCCGGTTAGTAGTTGGGTGGGTGACCACCAGCGAATCCCCGCTGTTGTATGT